TGGTGTAATTGATCTGCAGGGTACTTGGGTACCAAAGTATTGATGCGGTAAAATATGACTGCTGCCTAGTCCAAACTCAATGTCAAGTTGCCAGTACAATTAAAATTATTACTTTTTAGAATTTAAAAAGATAGTATCTAAAGAAGTAAAACATTGAACCTTCTGCTCTTGGGCCTTTTTAAAGAATTTATAGAATCTATCACCTTCTGAAAGTATAGAGCTTCTGCTTTTCCCAAGAGATGCATGGGTCCAAGTTTACAGAATCTGATATTCTAAGACTTATGAAAACCTCAGTCCCATCTGAAATAATAGTTACTGTAGAGTTTTTGCTTGTACCCCAAAACAGACAAGTAACTTTTATAGATATGCAAACTCCTGTGACCTGCTCTTAGTATGTTTCAGTACAGTTACATTTGTAACATTACAATCTCCCTCATCACACCAAAACACAAGCAGTTATGATATAAGACATTTCCACACAGGGCTGCAGTCTTCATGCTGCCTATGGTAATCATAGAAAGAAGCTGCCAAATGAATAATTAATTGTATACAATCATATATTTTGACAGGAACAACACTGGGGCAGTCTGTCCTGCCCAGCATATATTTGTAGATAATATCTAATACTATTATCATAGCTTTTCAATTATCAATGTTGTATGTACATTAGCCAGATGCCAGCACCGAGAACCAGTCTTTGATGATCTACATGTACGTTACTTTGCCATAGTTATATAGAAATTGCACATTTTGGAAAGTTTTGCAACACAGACACAACAGGTACACATTTCATTCTATTGTATACAGCCACACATGGGTATTCTGTAGCCTGCATGGTTTATTGTAGCTACCATACAGACGCCCCTACTGTAGAGGTACAGGTATAACTGACTGCTATCAACATGATGATCAAACAGGGGTGCCCTAACATTGCATGCTTTTTTCATGTGCTCAAACTTACAGCAAGCCATTGCTAGTTGTCAGAGGGTTTTCATGAATGAATTTTTGAAATCAGTCATGAAATGAAATGCACTCATACTGTTCATAAGTTTTATTCTGAACCAATGATGATGATGATGATGAAGCCCTTTACGCTTTTTGTCACAAGCGGCAAATGTGCCTTTGTGAATGTGCTAGTCAGTGTTTCCTAACTTCACACGCTTTTGTAATTTTGCTCTCTTCAGATGGCGCTCTCTTCTGGTGATGGATTTAAGTACTAAACAGAAATAAGAATTGAATTTTATGATATGTCAGCTTTCTTTTGACAGTGTATTTTTGAATGTGTGCTTGTCATGTCATGTCATATGAGGAGGGCTGTGTTTGACAGAAAACCTGACCATTGGACAGAAAACGTGCAATGAACTCGCATGGAAATCATAGGAAATGCAGATGACAGTGGTGTTGACGTTGTTTTTCTCAGGTCAGTTTTCTACTAAATGCTCATTCAGAGACCCAAATAATACTGTTTTGTAAAGATATATTTGTGGCAGTTGTGTGATTTCTTGGTAAAGGTCGTATATTTCTGGGAACAAGCTGCCACTATGAGTATGAAGCAACCCTCTTTTCAGCGACATTATTATTATTGGTTTAAGTCTGTTTTTCGACAACAATTAATGACCATCTAGAAAGTATACTTTGTATGCAAATAACTGCTGTATGCATGCATCAGTGGCAACAAACACAGTGTAGCTATGCATAATAGCATTGATACACCTGTGCAAAGTTAGTGTGCGTGCAATGTTAGGGCATCCCCATTACATGTACATTTGCTCAGAACTGCCATCCCACTTGCTTACCAGAGATTGCATTGGACAATTCAAAGTTTTTCGTGTGTTAGTTCTTCCCAGTTCTTTTCTGGTATCTCATTTAAATGTCTTAAATATTTGAGGCAGGTTAATTATAATGATTTGGAGTATCTTAAACCAGAAAAATTCTCCTTCACTACACCAAAAACACAGTACACAGACTTTGAGTATTTTTTGCTGGCTTCTATGTAATATAGGGCTCTTTCACGAAAAACAAGGGCAAGATGCTACAAAAAAATGTAGTCACACTGGCCTTCGACCTAGATTACAATTATATGATATTACAATGTACATGTACCTCTCCAATGTAAAATGGTCCCCCCTTGTTTTATTGTCAGGCCACACCATTCTTAATTTCATGGATGACATCCGCGCGTGCTTTGATTTTCGCCTGTTCTCAAAAAAAAAAATCACATCCTCCGAGGCTCTGGCCTGGCTAGTCCTTGGTAGTTAGCAACACTAGAGAGCCGGTGGTAACTGGAGGATGGCATCAGGTTGCCGAAGCTCCACGACTCAAGAACTCAGTACATGCGTACAATGCTGATTCATAAATTCCGCAAAAAGTCAGCATGTGCCAGCTTGTCGTATATGTTGCTATGTATACTGCCGCAAATTCACAATACTGTTTGTATTCAAGGTTTAGTATAGCATTTTTATTTTTGACTGGAATTTTTTTTCATTCACCCGCGCGCACTAGTTTGGGGGTCTTCAGTGGATGTCATCCACAAAATTAAGTCGATGTGGCCTAATCTTGGGATCTCATTCCATTTTCTTTAGAACAGACAGTTACAGACCTACATATGACATAGTTGAACAGTTGAAACATTCATAGTCTTGAGCCTGCATTCTTAGTAGTCTTCAGACAAACTCCTGTGTAAACCTGCCAAGACACAAAAATAAGCCTGGACATTATTATGTTACTATTACCAATCTGTCCAGTAATTCATAAAATATTAGACATTTGATATGTTGCATTTGCAACTTTTAAGCCACAGCATCAATTGCCCAGTCACATACACAATATACAATTGTTGAATGATCAAAAACTAATTATTACTATAAGCCTTAAGGGCATTATTGGGAAAGTCATGCATGTACAAAATTCAGTTGTCTTGTTACTTCAAAAGGCTGTATTAGATCCTTATCAGCAGTTGCTTCTTCCTGCTTGAAAGTTCTACAACATCAAAATCATACGACATACAACAAATTTCACTGTTACAGTACCATATAACGTTACATGTATTAGGCAGATTGTGCTGAAATTTTCTGCCCTGCCTCTCATTTTTTGGCTGGAATTGTTCCATGTGATTTACATGTCCAGAAGTCCAGTGTCATGTCTGAAGTTTAAACAGTGATTGAGGACATACCCATGGATGTAATCATCTCTTAAAATCGTGCAACCATTTTATTTCACTAATACCAGTAGCAAACATTCACATGAAGTTACAAAATATACATTGTATTATACTTATAGTACCACATTTCCTTGCATTAGAGAGGAAGGAACACCAACCAGTGGCTTTGGATGATATGAAGTGATTTTGAAGGTAGAGATTATATTCCGCAACCCAAGCCTCATTAAGGTCATTTGCCCTCAGAAGCAGACCTTTCCAAAATTGTCAATCTGTTATTCTAAATTTTGGTATATTTTTTTTTAAGAATCCTTGAACTACAAATTCCAGATCTGTAGCAAATTCATTTTATAATCATTTCATACCTCTACAACTAGTGCATGATATGAATAATATATATTATATAGATGGCAGTGAGCTCTTTTAGAAGGAAGAAAAGCTGTAACTTGTTATATCTAACAGGTGTGCCCTAACATCGCACGCTTTTCACATGGTCCAACTCACAGTGTTCCATTGCTAGTTGTCAGATAGTGGTCAGGTTTTGATGAATGAATTTTGAAGATGTTCATGTAAAGAAAATACTCAGATTAAAAGATGCACCCTTCATGCTCCATGTTACAAGCAGCAAACACTGTGAGACATTTTCGTGAATGTACCTTTCGTGAATGTGATACGATAGACAGTGTGTCCTAACTTCACACGCTTCTGTAGTTTTGCTGTCTTCAGAACTCAGTGATGAATTTATGTAAACAGAAATAAGACTGAATTTTATAATATATCAATTTTCAGCTTTCTTTTGATGGTAAAATTGCGATTGTGTGTACTAGTTTTTCTCGTCTAATGTGAGAAGGGTTGTATTGAGCACAACCAGTCCACGTTTTGACTAAAACTCAGATTATGCAATCAATGCAGTCCCATGGGAATCATGGGAAATGCAGATGTGGTTGACGTTGTTTTTCACATTTTGTCGAATTTTATCAAACAAACACTCAAAGACCAAAATTTCTACTCTTTGTGAAGCTTCATGTTCTATATGTATGCAACAGTTGTGTGACTGCTTGGTAAAGTACTATATTTCTGGGCACGAGCTGCCACTACAAAGTGACCCTCGTTTTAGCGCCATCAATATTATTGGTGAAATTCTGTTTTTCAACAAAATGATAAATATACATAGAACTAAATTTTGCATGCAAATAACAGCTGTATGCATTGACTATGTTTATTTACCTTTTTCTTTAGCAAAGTCAGTGGCAACAATCACGGCGTACGTATACATCAATAAGATCAGTAAAATTTCTGTGCGAAGTTAGGGCACCCCTCCTTAGTGATAAGTTGAGATGTAGGGTTGCCTTTCAAGTGACCATTGTGACAGCAATTGGTTAAAGAACTATGTTTATGATTGCAATGTAATTTGATTTATTACTAAATGACTGTATATTTTGGTCAGGCAGTTTTTTGTCCTGTTACACACTTCCTACTAATGCATTCTCTTCACTGCCTTGGTCTATTTTGGTCCTATTATGCCACACCAAGTAATTTTTATGGATGACATTCTCGGGCGCATTGATTTTGGCCTGTTCCCAGAAAACAAAACAAGAAATTCGACTTCTTGTAACTGTGACCAAAGAGTCATGATAGTGGGATAATGGAAGATGACTGTGATGAAAGGAAAGAAACAGGACAGAACTGATTGATTAATGTTTTCATGACGAATAAAAGACTTGTTGATTGTTACACTGTATTCTCTCATTCAATTTGTCATTCCTTTGCATTTTTTAAATCTACTAGTAGGCAGCTTCCTTTTTTGGCCCTTCTTGTTTTTTTGTTTTTTTTGCACTCTCCCTTCAGATTTAGGGTCTCCAGAGGATATCATCCATAAAAATTACTTGACATGGCCTTAGTATAATGTTGTGGTATGTCTGTTTTGTTTTAGTCCAGTGTCAAAATGATATTACTTATTCTGTAGCATATACATGTAATGTAACTCTGCTTTGGCTTTGCCCTGTCATTGTTCCATCCATTAGTGGTCTGCCTTAAGTCTGTCCAGTCATTGTGCCATTCTTGTGTTGTCTGCCTTGTCCTGGGTTGAGGTTGTCTGGTGAAGAAAGGCTGGAATGTCTTCTGTGATGAACTAAAGATTCTTCTTCATCATCTCAGATCTGCAGAATGAACAAGAAATTGAAGATCTCATACATGTAGCGCTTGCTTTAGTCAGTTTTGTGAATTCATTATTGCTCATTCTCACATGTCCAAAGAATGCCATTCAGGCTTTTGACATACACCACTTTATAATTGTGCAAAATAGGGCTTTTTGGCTATTTCTGGGCCAAAAATGTATATTTTTGGCTCTGTGCCCTAATATTTAAACTAAATGACCCTAAACGTGGTATGGAAGATCCTTGCATGGATACAAGCCCACAAAATTAATTCGGAATCCGCTTTTGGCATTTGTCACTTTAAAGTTATGTAAAATGGGACTTTTTTGCTATTTTTGACCAAAGATGTCTATTTTTGACTCCAGACCTGTGCGCTAATACGAAAACCAAATATTAACCTGAAATTCAGCATAAAGGTAGCTTGGCACCAAGTGCTTACAATAGACTATTAATAGTGTTTATTATTCCCATTTAGCCCTTTAACGGGGGATGAAGCCATTGCTGCATTTGCTCCCAAGCAAATGTCTGCCTTTCTAGTCATTATAGTATATATTACATAATTTATACATTTTTGGACCTTCAAAAAAAGGTATGGTACACTGGGATATGGCATTGACCAGTCAGCGAAAGACGGCGACCATTCTGAAAGGCAGCGACCATGTACAAGACGGAAATTTACATTTCTGATGGAAATAACTATGGAAACGCAAGCAAACACATGCTCAAACAGGCACACCTAAAAGAAAACTTCTGTTACAGTACATTGAAGTAACAAAGCACAAACAATAAGTAACTTGGAGAGCAGGTATTAAATTAAATATGCATATTCCATTCTTTTACAGCATTTGGTCTCGAATGTAGTAAATAATTCAAGGTGCACTGTAGTATAGTAAAAAAGTGCTACTGTGACTGAATTAATTCCGTCTAGTTTTGGAGAGCCTAATACATTTTAGTAATTGGCAACAATTATCAGTTTCAAATTCATTTCCGGTTTGTTCCACTGACGGATTTTATCTCAGAGGTTTACCTAAAGAGGCAAATTCAGATTAAGCTCACAGGAATGTTTGAAATGTTGACATGGGGGTACAGCTCTATTGATTTCTGACATTGATAGAAAAAACAGTAAAATGCAATGTGGGTCATTCACTCAAGCTATGAAAATGAAAAATCCATTTTGATAACCCCAGATTTTGTCAAGCACGGAACCAATCTCTTCTTTGACAACAACTCTATTACACAGGACTATGTATAGCTGGGGTAATTATGTTTGGAATTTACTGATTCAGGTGTAACTGTCCTTCCTTCTGGACCAGAGGGTCAAGAGTTCAAATCCATTATCTGCCGTTCACCTGACCTGCATGCTACAGGGAAGAGATCCTGATACTTTTAAACTACAATGCTTCGGGTACCAATCCTAACCATCCATATGCAGTGGTTGTATTTTGTGGAGTGACAGAAAAGGTTTTTGTTGAAAGACAAGCAGAATTATGAAAACACATATTTACAGCATAACGTTTATGATTTAGTAGTGAAAAGTGACCTTGAAAACTAAAAAATAGAACCCAAAAAAATTCTATACCGAACCGGTACTGTACGTTTCAGAGTAGTTTCAGTGTTGTAAAGCCTGATAACCTTCAATATTTGCACCTCCTAGTCTATATTCTATCAAACATCTATACATTCTATTCTATTCTTTTCTATTCTATTCTATTCTATTCTATTCTATTCTATTCTATTCTATTCTATTCTATTCTACATGTATTCTATTCTATTCGACTCGGCTCTGCTCTGCTCTGCTATGCTCTGCTCTACTCTACTCTACTCTACTCTACTCTACTCTACTCTACTCTACTCTACTCTACTCTACTCTACTCTATCTACATGTACTCTTATTCTATTCTATTCTACATTATATTATATATATGAGATATGATATATATATATATGAGATATATGAGAATGAGATATATAATGATATATATGAGAATGTCACATAATTTTTTCAACACTGTTGTTTTTCATATTTGAATTACAGGAAGTTTTTGAAAGAATTCTAATAATGATTATGTATGTCAATGTCTTTGGTTCGTTGTGAACAAGGAAGCTGTCCTGTCTCCAGAGGGCCCCAGTTGAAAGCCCATGTCCATTTTTTAACTGAGTGCAAAATGTCACACTCGTGATGGAAGTTTCATTAACATATTCTCTAACAGCGGTCTGGAGCTCAACAATAGTATTGGTTGTATAAAAATCCTTGTTGCAGCAATCTGCACATGCTATATACAACTATTACAATTAGTACAACATTTCAACCAGAGAGAGGTCACACCATAGATTAAGAGCTCCATCTGATGACTTCTGATGGAACCACAGGCAAACAGATATAAAGCAAAAAGTATTTTACTGGAATTCACCATTTTTTCAATCCTTCGACTAAAGTAAAAAAACAACTGTTCAACTTTCAACTGACATACATTGTAGCTATATCCTACATTATTGATAAGGATTTTTATTTGCATAATGCAAACTGTTGATTTTCAAGAAAAATGTTTATGCCCCATATTCCAATGCTGGAGCAGGAAAGTTACATACCTATTAAAAACACTTGAATACAGTTCATACTGCCCAATGTATGTTATTATGGGTTCACCACACCACGAAGTGGTGTGGTGAAACCATATTGCTTTTTCTGATGTTTCTTCTCCTTCTCCTTCTCCTCCTCCTCCTCCTCCTGCCATATCTTTAAATGGATTCAGCTTCTTCATTTTAGGGCCTAAGGTCCTGAAATTTGGTATGGAGGTACAGTGGGCAAATACCCCTAGGCGTTTTTTAAATTATTGTGATACAGGCTTTTAGAATGGTTTTATTTGAGTTTTTTGGTCTGTGTTATAGCAAATGTATTACTGTGTTAGTCTGCCTTGTTTACCACGTTTGGGCATGAGTCATCAGAATGGAATGCAGGGCATCAACCAATAGGCATGCAGCTTTCCTCTATACTTCTTGCTGATTGGCTGTTGGGATTTAACTTGATTAACACCTGCACAGAAGCATTTCCATACTGACAGTATGTCTGTATTCAAGTGTTTTGGTAGGCATTTCAAGCTTTCCTGCTCCAGCATTGGAATGCCGGGCATGGACGTTTTTTTTTTATTTTGAAAATCAACAGTTTGCATTATGCAATTAAAAATCCTAACCAATAAAGTAGGGAATAGCTATCCAACTGTTGTTTTAGTTGTATTTTACTTCATATTATAGTTATATCAATGTAAATCATTGTTTTCCCTTGTGTTTCCCATTCTTTCCCTGCCATGTCGTAAAATGTGGTGAACCCATCGCTGTATTTGCTCCAAAGCAAATATTGGCCTTTCTAGTTGATTAATATGTTGTAACTTATAGCTTGGTGGTGCGGCTTGACACACAAACGCTACGAAAAACATATTAACCTTCTTGGTGAAGGTAATTGTATGGAGTTATAAGATACGTCAAAATGATTCTACACAATGTAATTGATACTGCAGCACTGCCATATCATGCTAGATGGCATATGTGCAATACCGGAACTCTATGCCTGTAGAAAATGGATCTTTGAATACATGACAAGATTGTACAGTAGATGTCCCCATAGAACCCACACATGCTTGGTTTATAGCATTGGAGGATACATTGTTTCAAACCTGAGATCTGCTGATGACATTAATGGATTGGCAGGGTCAGAAAAAGAACTCTTGGAGATTGTTAACAACTTGGACACAACAGCCACTACAGTTGTATGGGGGCCCGCAAGCCCTTTTCCGTAGAGCGTGACGTTTTAATTCTACGTAGAGCATAGCTGGACCGCTCGGCGCATTTTGCGTAGAGCATTTTCGCCATTTTATTTCTACGTAATGCATTGTGGCCACTTGGAATTTATCGTAAAGTGTAATCGAGAGGTTTCCGAATTCAGCGTAGAGCGTTGTCAGGACCCCCCTTGCAGGCCCCCTTCAAATGGTCAAATGTATGTAAGGCCACAGCAAGTAATTTTTATGGATGACGTCAGCATGCGCATTAATTTTTGCCTGACTTGGGAAAAAAAACAAGAAATTTTGTTGCCCTCTGACAGTGGTGAACCTGCCGAAAATACAGGCAAAGATGTCTGTTGCCATGCTTGTAATGTGGAGCATGAAGGGATCATGAACAGTATTCAAATTCGTTCATCAAAACCTGACCACTTTCTGACAACTAGCGATGGAACATTGTGAGTTAAAGCACATGAAAAGTGTGGGATGTTAGGGCATTCCCCATTAGATATGAAGAGAGGAGACAAGGCTCTGACTTGTTGTTTTGTCTTTTACTTAGATGCAGTGATGAATTTTATTCCTTTCATTATGATTGTGATCTTCATTTAGTCAAAACCAAATGTACAGTGATTGAAAACTTTTATTTTTCAGTGTCATTTCACATGGTTTATGATATTGAAATTTGAAAACGTAGGAATCTTTTTTGTTTGGCCTGCCTTTTTTTCGCGCTTTTGCTTAAGTCATTAGAAGTCAGTATAGAAATGAAATGCCCAAGAAAAATCCTAGAGATAACATAACTGGATCATGTTACAAACATGGAAGTCATAAATAGTGTAAAACAGCACTGTCAGTATGAGAGGCTCCTGACAGTTGTGAAGAGAAAGAAACTAAAAATGGTATGCATGGTCACATAACAAAGTCACATAGACTTCAAAAACAATCCTTCAAGGAACAGTAAAAGGAGCAAGAAAAAGGGGAAGGCAGAACAAAATGGGTTGACAACATCCAAGAGTGGAAAAAAAACTTAACCCTAACGTTAACGCTAACACAACCAAGAGGGATGGAGGCTGACCTTGGTTAAGGGACCAAGGTACAAGGTAGAGGTTCCCCTACCTGGATATCATACATGACAATATATTTTTGTTACTGTACATTTCATCACATTGCTCCTAGAGTTTTATTCTTGGAGTAGGCCATGTATCTCTCACTGAATTCAAATTTGAGACTACTACCAGTACAAATGTATATTGTGCTTTGATCTATTGAACTATATTGTGTAATATTTTTTCAGTGCTGTTATGATGGAATCGAATCCCTGAATCTAACTTATGAGTTATTTATTAGTTATTGCCATTTTGTTTATTTATTTACTTTGTGTGAGTTACCTTGTGTATAAAAATTATTACTTTGTTTTCATTTGTGAGCAAGTAGTATTTATGTTATGACCCCCTGACACTCCTCCACACTCAACCTCTATGAAAAGCGGCCGAAATAGCGGCCGATTAGAGCATGTAACACAGTTACAGATCGAGTTGAAATAAAGGCTCAAACAAACAAACAAACAAAAGGGCCCATTCACACGAAGACGCTGTACGCGGTTTCGATTCAGATTCCACCGAAGCCGGATTCAAGTGGCCCCATCTGAACTGAGCTTTAAATCGCATTGAAAGCGTCTCGATCCCAAACCACTTCAGGAGGTGGTTTTGAACCGGTTTCACCGGATCGGGATACGCGTCTGAACGCAATGTGATTCCAATGTGACTTCATTGGTCACTTTACATATTGACCAGATCATGGGTTACTATGTGATATTTCTTTATTTATATGCAATACTAAAATTTACGTGGCAGCAACTTAAAGAGTCAAATAATGGTCAAATAATGTGTCCGTTCTAGGACGAGCTTCATCGCCTCTGGCGGGACCACGCCGGCATTCGGCCGAGATACATGTACGCTTGGAGGTACACCAGCAAGGAGGTCGTTGACCTCTGACATTGATAACGTTTTCATCAAACAACAATGAATGTAGATTAGGCAAATTGTGATCGGGCACGGTTTGAAAGGAACGTGTGGCACGTGGACCAGATGTGAGGAATGCGAGTTACCTGTATCATGGTTCAGGCATTTTCATGTGAACAAGGCCTAACCCCACAGTTGGAATAATCCATCTCAGGTGACAGAACTGTGCCAGGTGTGAGGGGGCTTGGGAAGCCACATCTGACCTAGTTACAGTGGTGAAGGCCCCCTGACTCAGGTGAAAATGAGTTACGCTTTGGTTTGGGACATCCGATCCTCTTGGAATGTAAAGCAGGAGGCCCCAGATTTTTGAGGATCGCGATAAAAAGAGCCCACCACAGTTATCAAAAAGATAGAGTAGAGGTCCACCTGGGTGATTTGTTGATCAAGCCTTACAGCTTGGTCTTAGACAGCTTGTACCCAGTACAGTAAAAACCAGTGTGTTATGTCTAAAGGTGGTTTACTGGTTATGTGAAACAAACAAACACCAGATAAGTTTATTCTGTTGGTTCTCTGACATTTAAAATGTAAGAAACAGGAGGAACAGATAAAAACCCACTGGTCTCGGGCCGGGGTTCGAACCCACGACCAAACCCGGGCACCAGTTCACAGGCAGACACTCTAACCGCTTGGTCGAAAAGGTCTAGACCCGTTTGCTGGATCTGTTGGTAGTGCCTATAAACCCCCCACTGTTACACTACTCCCCCTTTTCTTTTCAAGATTCGTCCTCGAATCTTCCGAATTCGACATCCCTGGAGCGGCACTCTTTGCCAGAACTCCCAGGGCCGGCATGGGAACCACTGTAAGAAACAGGAGGAGCCAGTAAAGACCCCACTGGTCCCGGGTGGGGTTCGAACCCACAACCTCCCGGGCCCCAGTCAGACACTCTAACCGCTTGGCCGAAAAGGTTGTTTGCCGGATCTGTTGGTAGTGCCTATAAACCCCCTAGTACTGTTACAAAAAGTTTAGCAGGATGAGAATGTACACATAATTGCTGTAGACAAAACTTGAATGTCCATTCTCTAAAATTGCGTGTGCCAGGGCGTAGACTTGCATCTTGTAATGGACGTTATTTTCATATCAATATTCCAAATGATCTGCCTCTAGCTTCAAACAAGGCTGCCTCAGTCTTGCATGTATGCAGATGATACTTCCACTTGCACACGTGCACCTCAATCTCTACAATCAACTTCACCTTAGATAGGGAGCTTGAACACATACATTGTAAGTGAATGGGTTTGATAAAAAGATTATCTCTCAACGCATTCAAAACAAGAGTTCCACGATCTCATACATTTGCCAAATGATGTTTTTTAACCGTTTGTCATTTCATTTCCATCATGGATTATATCATATATTATATTATATATAATGTATGAGTTTGATACAACCCCACCACATTTTGTTTTGGACAAAAAATTTTTGGGACAGAATTGGAATGCTAGAAATGGACAAAAGCGATTCCAGTTGAGACGTATACATGTACATGTAGATGTTACAACAATTCTAAAGTGCAACTTATGGAAGCTTTTATTTAATATACATGTAGGAGACACTTGTTTCTCACCATCTTTCATCTTGCTCGTTTGAAGTTGACGTTTGTCGCCAGGGAGCCTCCACCTGACTTGGTCTTGCCACCTTCGTCACTGCCCCGTGGCACAAAGGCCAGTTCCATCATAAAGGCCTGCTTGCCCTGGAAAAAACAGTAGCATGCAGTAGATCATGCAGTAGGTTAGAAATTAGCGAAATGCCCCAAACTGTTTTTGAAAAAACAGGTTCCAAAATTAGCATTCACATATAGTCTATTGGTTTGTGGCTAAAACTCAATATTTTGATACAACAAAAGAAAACTGATTTGTTTGATTTGTTTAGTGACAACAGGATGAAGTTCATGACCACACCTGCTTGTAGCCCCGGCTCCACAGGAAGATAATGGAACAGCAGAAGATCACGACCCCTAGAAAGGTCAGCGAACCCATCAAGGTTGCCAGGAGCAAGGTCAGGTGATCGGGAGGGCGTGGTGTTGGGCCAGCCAGTCCTGCATTTCCCCGACCGAGCTGACCAATCACAGTCACCTCAATACTGTCCGTGATGTTTCCCCCTCCATTGTAAGCATAGCATTTGTAGCGCCCTGCATCGTGTTGCGATATCCTCTGTATCAGCAGGGTCCCCTTGTTGTTGAGACTCGTCTTTCTGTATGGCCTGCCAACTGTTACAGTCACTCCTTTGGGGATGACCCAGTTCACTGTGGGGCTGGGTTTCCCCTTGGCAGGACATCGTAAAGGAACATCCTGTCCCGCTGTCACACTAATCGCCCGTCTCTGCATGACAAGCTTCGGCCCAGCGCAGGTCATCAGTTCTGTGTAGTTCTTTGGCATTGCTGTGGGCTTCCTGATAAACTTTTAGTATATCCGCCCCACGCCAAGATGTCGGGCTATCACATATTACCGACACATCCCCCGGCATTGTAGCTTGTCAGGATCCATTTCAAATCACAGTTGCAGTTCCACAAGTTGTTGTCAAGGATCATCTTGTCTGGGAGCTTCTTGAGCCCAAAGCTGGTTCTGCGCAACATTTTGAGATTGTTGTTGGAGAGGTCTAACCTCCTCAGGTTGTTCAGACTGGTGAAGGCAAACTCCTGAATAACTTCCAGCTGTGGAGCAATGGAGATAAACCAACCATGTTAGCATGCTAGCTCAAAATTCAAACTGTCTTGTGTGCATTGACTTTCGATATGGACCTGTAAGACTAGGCCCCCTTGGAAAGAAAGTTGGTAAAGATGATGTAAAGAAGAAAACAGGGAGTGCATATATAGGGCATTACAACTTTAACTCGAGAGAATGATTCCCAGAACTACCAAGTTAGAGTTAGAGGTATTGGCCATCAATCTTCTTGTGCCTAGCCAGTAGAAGAGCTACAAGGAGCATGATGGAGTCAGGCTAACCTGCATGTGTGTGAGCACCAGCATCTCCAGTTTGTCCATCCCCAGGAAGTCGTTTGCACGGATAACACGGATGTCGTTCCGGGACAGGTGCAGTTCCTTCAGGCGGGACAACTTCTGCAGGGCTCGTGTCGGGATGTTGGTCAGGTTGCCATTGTTCAGGTTGAGGACGGTTATGTTGAGACCATTGAAGGCCTGAGGATGGTGGATAACTCCTTTTCAAGTTTTGGAATTATTTATTTTTTGAATCTCAAGACAGCTGGGTAGACCCATTCAGCTTGCAATAGCTGTTTTCTGAGGGGGCCCAGCTTATTACACAAGACATGATACAATCATTGCTACAGTCAATTAAATAAAGCCATTACACTTTCTTGCTACCAATAAATGACTTGTGCTTTTGTGATCGTTTAAGGATCCTGATGTAGAATTCTAATGTGATCATTTAAGAATCCTGACGTAGAATTCTAATGGTTGCCACCATGGATGGATTGCAAATATCTTTCTGTAAGTGAAAGAAGATTCCTTTTTCTCTCTACACAATAGACTAAATTTCTTTACTCCACTCCAGAGGGGGATCGAAAAATCTAAAAATTTACATGATCTTTCTAGTACCTTTTTTGCTTGCTCCTACTCTTCTCATGCCAGTAGACTTCTTTTAAATCACATTTAAACAAGCAGGAAATAACATTTTGTGGAAAGCTCATATGTTGTAGATGTAAGGCCACACCAATTCGTTGGTTATTGCTTTATAAACAACAGGACTAGGCATATTGTGATAGTCCTAAATCTGTAAAATTAGTATACTATAGGCTTATTTATAATTCAGACAATGAATTTTGAACCTTTTTAGAGTCTTAAAAGTCATATCACTACATTGATAAGCGAAAAAATTTCATCAACTGGAAAAAGGGCCTTTCTTCAACTGTTAGTGTCACAATATGAGCATTTCGGATTGATGTAGAATCTGATACATGTTACCATTACACGTTTTATTTTTCAAATCAGAAATAACTGAAAGCAATCTGCAAACACAGAGCAAATTTCTGACCTGAGGGTGGATGGCTCGCAGGCTGCGCCACAGGCCCAGATCCAGGGACTTTAGGTAGGGCAGGCTTGGGAAGGCATTCTCAGGCAGGAAGTCAATAGGGAAGGACTGCATTCGCAGGAACTCCAGGGATGGCAGATAGCGCAGGGCCTTTGTCATGTAGCTCATCTTAGTAAACCTGTCAGAACAGAAAAGGAGATGCCTTGGGTGTGAGATGTATATTCTTAGGGTAAAATGTATATTTAGAATGCATCTCAACTTGTTATCATAGTAATAAAAGAGACGATGCACGTGACAAGTCTAACGCTATACAGGTTCTTGAGCTTACCTACAGTACATGAGGCACTGGTTCTTGAGCTTACCTAGAGGCACTGGTTCTTGAGCTTATCTACAGGACATGAGGTACTGGTTCTTGAGCTTACCTACAGGACATGAGGTACTGGTTCTTAAGCTTACCTACAGGACATGAGGTACTGATCTTGAGGTTATCTGCAGTACATGAGGTACTGGTTCTTGAGCTTACCTAGAGGTACTGGTTCTTGAGCTTACCTACAGGACATGAGGTACTGGTTCTTGAGCTTACCTACAGGACATGAGGTACTGGTTCTTGAGGTTACCTGCAGGACATGAGGTACTGGTTCTTAAGCTTACCTACAGGACATGAGGTACTGGTTCTTGAGCTTACCTTCAGCACATGAGGTACTGGTTCTTGAGCTTACCTACAGCACATGAGGTACTGGTTTTTGATCTTACCTACAGGACATGAGATACTGGTTCTTGAAGTTACCTTCAGCACATGAGGTACTGGTTCTTGAGCGTACCTACAGGACATGAGGTACTGGTTCTTGAGGTTACCTGCAGCACATAAGGTACTGGTTCTTGAGCTTACCTGCAGTACATGAGGTACTGGTTCTTGAGCTTACCTACAGTACATGAGGTACTGGTTCTTGATGTTACCTGCAGCACATAAGGTACTGGTTCTTGACCTTACCTGCAGGACATGAGGTACTGGTTCTTGAGCTTACCTACAGTACATGAGGTACTGGTTCTTGATGTTACCTGCAGCACATAAGGTACTGGTTCTTGAGCTTACCTGCAGTATATTAGGTGCAGGTTCTTGAGCTTACCTACAGGACATAAGGTGCAGGTTTTTAAACTTTTCCTGAAGCAAGAGATTCAAGGTTCTTTCTTACCTGCAGCGCATCAGATAAAGGTTCTTGAGCTTGGACAGCCCCTTGAAGGCTTTGTCTCCAATGAAAATGATCTGGTTCTCTCCCAGGTCCAGGTAGCCCAGATTGTTCATGCCAGAGAAAGAGTGATCCAGGAGTACCACCAGCTTGTTTCTATCCAAGTCCAGACGCGTTACGTTCTGCAGGCCTCGGAATGCTCCACGCAGTACCTGGGGATCCACAACAACAAATGGGAGAAAATAAGCATGTCGGCAGAATGTACTGCGCCTACGCAGAACCACGTATTTTTGCGTTTTTCATTGGGTTTTTGGTCAACGTTGCATCAGAATTTTGCCTGTTGCAGAGGATATTCTTTCCTACATAACATTTGGAAACTACTGTCGAAATGCTAAGTTAGAAACCTTATATGAGCAAATACAACCTTATATGAGACATTCTGAAGAAATGCTATGTACAAAACATTACGGGTTTCGTGCAGGTGCAGTACGTTCTGCCGACGTGCTGAGAAAATATGACAATTGTGTGGAAGGTACAAATCGCTGGCCACAAGGGACAGCTTGGACTAATATATTTTCTGATCGCCCCCCCTATACTAAATTCTAAAAATTGTTATCATTAACAATAGGTTTATTAGAACTGAGATGTTTCTTTAATTTTAGAATGATCATGTATGATTTTTGGAGTCTTGGAAGTGAAGAGTGATTATGAGCTTATGTACATTTCTCTGTTGCCATGTTGACACTAAAACCACCTGGTTAGTGTAGAAGACTTGATACATCTGGTGTTAGTCCAATATAAGATAGACGTACATCACTGTCACCTACCAGCTGGAGGTTATTCCCACTCAGCTTCAGCTCCTGAAGTCGTGACAACCCTTGGAAGGCCCCATTGGCCAGCATCTGGATTTTGTTGTCGTTAAGATTGAGGGTCTCGAGCTGAGGGAAGTCAAGAAATGTTTTGGCAGGGATTTCTTTAAGACCGTTGGTCTGCAGGTTGAGCTGTTTGGTGTTGTGTGGGATCCCTCCAGGGATGGACCTGAACTTGGTTCGCTTGCAGCTCACTGACTTCTCGGAGCTATCACAGATGCATTTTTCCGGACAGCCGACCACCACAACGGTGTCCCAAAAGATGCACACAATGAAGAGCAACCACACCTTCCAGTGATGTCTCTGCATGGCTGTACTTCACACAAAAGTTTCACCACTCAAATCCTGGATAGTCCTTTGTAGTAACTTGTATTGTCAGTTCTGTGAATTTCACACAGTTCTTTCCTTGGTGCTGAATACTGGATAGTTGTCTGAAGAGAAACTTTCACTACGAGTCTCCAGATACTCTTTTTGTTAAGTAACTTTTCTATGTCAACTTGGATAGTTGGTTTTAAGAATTCTACACATCCAGCCCTGTCCTTTGTCCTGAAAAATGGATAGCTGTCTGGAAAGAAATCTTGACAACTCTTACCACAAGAATGCATGCAGGTGTTTTTTTTATATAATGTGCTGTAGTGAGCAATACCCACTGTTGATTTAAGTCATTGTGCTACATGGACATGCACAATTTACTTCTCACTGTCCTCGGTGCTGAACATTCAATTGCTGCCTGCAGTGGCAATCAGCACAACAAACATTCACCCAACGCTGCAGTTCTGTTGTTAGTTTTGATACCGGTGCTATTTAAATGTGCAGTAAGTTCAGCTCCACATGACAGCCCTTTGTGTTGAACACTAGATTGCTGCCGGATGTGATAACAACCTGGGTTTCACACGACCAGATGGGCTGAGCTTTGTAAAAGTGATGAACTGTACAGTGGCACACTTTGCCCGGAGTTATGTGTCATTTTTGTCTCATTGTGCCAGTCCCAGGTGTAAGGAGAGGTGTTTATCTACTGCTGACTCAACAGTAACTGCCAGATGTTGAGGTGATGTGAAGTTTTTGGCTCCTTCAGAGTAATGCTTGTTGAGTTGTATACAGGGCCTATGTGCTTTTGTAGAAAATGAATGAAATTTTTGCTTTTTCTCATTAATTGAGATCCACACTGGAGAGCTAGTCTCAGCAGACTAAGCTTTTGAAATTATGACTGCTTCAAAAATATCATATCCTGCCTCTTTTTACATGAAAGTTTCCACTGGTGAATAACCATAAAGGGTAGAATGTAAGTGATATCAGTAGTTCTTTTGGGGCTAGGAAACATTGGCAAGTTGGTCATGTGATGACGTATTGACAGTTCAGTTAGAAGCAATTGTAATCAGCTACAATTACTTTTGCCACATCAAATGCTCCATCTTTTGCATTGAAACCCACACGAGTGATAGAGCCAGCAACAGGTACAGGGAGCAGTTCTGTTCTTGACAGTGCAACACTTTAAGCACACGTGTTTGGCCCAACAGTTGACTGTAATGGTCCTTTAGTTGTCCACAGAGTGCATTTACTTGTCACAATGAGATACGGCAAAGATGTGTCTAAATGGACCCATTTGAAGCTGTCAGTCGACATTCATCCCAGCATCCCTCCTCAGTACCGATCCTTCCAGGGAGCAGAATCCACAGCTGATGGCTGTCAAGCTGACACATGGAGTTTCTTGTGATGAAAGGTCCTCTCACAGTTTCCTATTTAGCCTTTAGATGGAACCTAATAAGAACAATAAGATGCATGCCATGTGTAGTTACTGCCTCAAACAATCCTTAATTGCTTGCATATAATCTGCCAAACTTATAGTGTTTCCTTTGCCAGCTGCTCTACATCTATATATAAGGCTTGTGTTATGTAGGACCATATTTGCTGTCCATGTGTTATGTAGGACCACATTTGCTGTCCATGTGTTATGTAGGACCATATTTGCTGTCCATGTGTTATGTAGGACCATATTTGCTGTCCATGTGTTATGTAGGACCATATTTGCTGTCCATGTGTTATGTAGGACCATATTTGCTGTCCATGTGTTATGTAGGACCATATTTGCTGTCCATGTGTTATGTAGGACCATATTTGCTGTCCATGTGTTATGTAGGACCACATTTGCTGTCCATGTGTTATGTAGGACCACATTTGCTGTCCATGTGTTATGTAGGACCATATTTGATGTTATGTAGGACCATATTTGCTGTCAGTCTGTCTTGATTTTTGGCTCCCCCCTGACATTAGAGCTGTACTCAGCAGCTCTGAAATCATTTCGTCCCCAATTTATATCTTTTAATTGCCAACATGCCTCTGCATTGGGACAGTAAGCTTGCCTCTGAGAGCAATTTCACACATAACGTTGTTTTTTTGCCTCCGTCCTTGAAATAAGTGACAGGGCCAGGATAGATTGAGGAACAGAGTTCAGGATTCTCCCCTAGGCCTGTACCCCTGAGACTTCTTTATCACAGTGCTATGAAGAGATTCGTATACAATTTTTTGTTGTTGACAGCATCACATTTTTACTTTGTTTCCAAAATAGAGTAGACCAAATTAAGGAGTCTTTGCACAGCTTCTAGAATTTAGTTGTTGGTGTTTTATACAAACCTTTATTTTAGTACCCTCAACTCTTGCCTACTTCCTTTCAAATATTCATATGGCAACTAGCAGGTTCTGGAATTTACAGTTACTGTAGATGAATGAAGGCAGGGAAATTGTAACATAGTCAATTCATTCCAGCAGTAGTGATTGATACATTTAAACATGGATTTGTCTACCTCCATGATTTGAAGAAACATACTTGTAGAACACAATTGGTCTGGCCGCAGCAAAAACTGAATTTTACCAGCATTTAACGTTACAGGGAGGGGCGAATCCGAGAGAGGCGAATCTGAGAACCAAAAAATCAAATTGGTGTGGCCTCAAGAACCAAGAATATATCAAATGGATGCAACTTTACCTACACTTCCTATCCCAAAGATTGTTTAGCCACTGTTCCCATTATTCTGTGGTTGTTCTGCCACCTCACGTCCTTGCATGGTCCAGGATCACCCAACCATTCAGGATTGTCAAGTCTAATATCAGGAGCAATATTAGTGCTGGGAAGCAGCGTTAATGTATGACATTATTGCTGCTCTGCCAGCGTCACACAGATCTTGGATAGACCCCAATAAGATGCAGCAAACAGGTGCTGCTGTCCCAGCAAGGATGGGGGCAACATAGGTCTCATTTTGTTCTCTAGAATTTGTGGGAAAATAAATGTACATGTAACAGCTTCAAGTTTAATTCTGGACTTCCAGTTTAATTGGGGACTTATTCTCATATCTCAGCGACTTAACATCTAGATGTGCTAATATCGTAAGCTGTAGGTAAAAATGATGTAAGAAATATGTACAATACATGAATGTAGCGACCATTGAGGACCCCTTGGGGATTAACCCAATTGTGAGAAATTCTTCCCAGAATTCTGGCTCCAGTTCCCAGAATTCTGCAGAATTCTGGCTCCAGTTGTGGTATGCCTAAATACCACAACTGACAGCTTCCTGGGCATGCAGTGTACAATGTGCTAAGAACCCTTTTTAACACTCTGGATACATTGTCTATGCTTGTATGAATAGAAAAAACAGTATAAACAGTAACTCTGATGTATTTACCAGTTTTTTAAAGACTAGTTGTTATTATTATTATATAATAATAATACTAAATACATATAGTAGACTCTATATAATTGCCTTGTGACATTGTGACAGGTGCAGAGTTAACTTGTCTGTTGAAATGTTTCTATGGTTTGAAGGGCAATATTTATCTCTTGTTCCATTACAATCAATTACCAGTCAACCAATAATCAACCATTACCAGAGAGTGAATATACAGTCAGATGGAAGTTTCTGTTTTCATTGTGTTATTAGTTCTTGTTGGAGATTCTCTAACAGTGCCAGCAATAAAGGGCCCACAAAGGTTTGGAGGAAATGCAGTTCTAGAAAACCCAGTCTGGTTACCCTAGTGACAGTGCTGTTACCTTCATAACCAATGGTCTGATGGCTACTAAGTATTACTCCCATGACAAATCTGTACAAACATAAATTATGTATTTTGTCCCATGTGGTCAAAGCTGACCATATATATAAGGACATTATAAGAAATTTATTTCAGTATCCTAGCTTGGTTCTTGGACATTTTTTTGTTTTGTTCACACAGTAAAACATAGCACAATACAAAGTGGTAGTGCACTCAAGTATCTAAGACTTCCAATGCAACCACCAAAATCTACCAGTTCCATATCTTTCTGATACAAGCAATTAGCAAAAAGAAACCAATATGTAGAAAGTACAGATAATATTATGTGACACAAAGTAATGGAAAAAAATCAAAGATGCATGTTGGAAGCACATTAACAATTTCCCACCCAATGACCCATGAGTTTAGAATTTTTCATCAAATTGCTGCATGGAGGTTAGGAGGCCAAGGACTTTCTTCAACTGTGGGTGCTAAAATATGTCATGGAGGATTTTGATGTTTTTGCAAATCAGAAAACCATTAAGCAGGATATAGGAACTTCAAGTTAGATTGGTGTGAAAAAAATTTAAAAAAAAATTTTTAATTAAAAAAAATAATAAATGAAGAATTTTAGCAAGCGGGCATGACATTATATTGGAGGGCCAGGAGAAAAACTCTTGACCCCCATTAGACCCTGCTTATATGTTCAACTTGATGACCAACAGTTAAGCACCTTTATTTCAAAATCCAAGAGCAAAAATAGTCAAGTTGGTGGAGGGTGGGCAGAGAAATAAGTTGAAGCCAAGAAAAAAAGTCAGCTAGGCAAGGCATAATAAAATGTTAGTCTAATCAAATTAGCCAGAGGAGGCCATATAACTTGTTTTAGTCTATATATTGCAACCACAATATTGTCACTATGTTGCAGGGTGACCTATGGTGACATGAAGCCAGTCCAACACACACGTTATTTCCCAGGTGGCAACTAAAATGTCTCCTGGTACATAAAGTGCCAGTCATTTGTCAACTCTTGTGTTCTTTGTTCACTATAAATAGCAAAAAGTTAACAACTCTTCACAGACATTGGTTTTTAGATTGTAATAATAGTAGCCATAATGATATCGGTTTATGATACAAATATGTATTCTAAATCATGGTGCATGAAAAGGATGGAAAGATGAGTCATAAAGTTTACCAATGTGTCCTTTTAAAGTTTACATTCATTCAAAATGTCATTCAATTAAAATTCAGAAAAGCTGGCCCTCAGACTCTCAGAGTTTATAGAAAAGTTCAAAGAAAATTGGTATCAGATTAGCTGAGATTTTTGCCTCCGGGGGAGGAGACATCCTTCCGTGGAAGGGCTTTGTGAGAGATTTAGATTTTCACGTTCGCAGCCGTTTCTCGCTTTTGGGTGGATGGATTCTTTTGGGACTCGGTATGTGTTTTGCTGTTGGGCTGTAGATGATGCACGTTTTTGTTTTTATTGTATAATTATGTGTTTTCGGGTGGGAAAATGGTGTCTTTTGGTAGCCCCAGAACACCCCTTTGAGCGTGAAAGTGGTCGCGGCCGTTGAAATTTGGTGTGTTTGAAGTATTCTCGGTCGGGTCCACTTGTATGACCTTTCGCACAGAGGGGTGTCCTAACAGATGAAATTTAACACCATCAACTATTCATAACAAACAACATATAAGAATATACAATAAAAAGCCCGGAGGTATAAAACCTCAGATTTTACTTGTTGTGTCTTAAAATAGAATTTCAACCATTTCTCTGCACAATGTACATTTAACAATCATATTTGGGACCTAGGGATTTTACTCTGCAACAACTCTGTTCTGACGACTTTCAGAAACCGGGCACGTATTTTATCTTTCCCTGTGGAGGTGGATGCAGGGTTTTATTGAATTGCCGGTAACTGATGGGGTGCTTTTCTATTCCCTGTTGCAAAGACTCCCACAGTTTGGGTCCTAATGCTCTAATCCAAGAATAAAAATGTTCATTTGAAGCCTGACACTTTCTGCAATCAGTGTTACTTAGATGGCTGTTACTGAGTAGTGATGTTAGGTACTTAGGAACATTGTCAAACCCATTAAAACAGTGATGCATCATGTTCGAGATAATGAACCTCGTTTGTGACACAGTCACAATAATCGTTCAAGAACTTGGCATGCAAGCTAGATTGGGACTCCCTACTGTTCAGGCATCTTGTCAAAGTGGGGAAGGTGGAAAACTGCAGGATGATGAATGGGACACAACCATACAGTAATTAAGATATAATTACTTCATCATAGAGCTGTTTGAAAACCATATGCATGTGGCATGTCGTGTAATCAGAGTATTGGTTAGCAAACCAAATTTTGAGTTAAAACCACACATTCAAGTAAAAATTTGCAACAAACACGCAAAGAGAAAAGGGGAGTTTTATCTTGAAAAGTCATCTGTGTCTGACTCGGTAGAAGTCAGTCTGAATCAAAGTTGAACTGTAAAATGCCAACATACATGTACATGTACATGTGTAACATCTGTGTCCATAATATCACCATAGTCCATAATATCGCCACCTTGAGAAAAAATGTGCTTAAAGATATTTTTATGGCAACATACCCTAGGTATGTACAGTTGAGGTGTGTAGGAGTGCATACCAAAAGCATGGTGCAGTAAAAATATCTTTAAGCACACTATTTCTCAAGGTGGCGATATTATGGACCCTGGTGATATTACGGACACAGATGTTACACAC